GTCGTATTTATGAGATGACTGAGGAGAATATGAGAGCCCTTGGAAAACAGCCAACAACTACAAAGTATGTATTACAGTCAGGTTCAAGTAGATGGCACCATAGGACAAAATATAAACAAGCAAGTTGGCATGATAAAAAAACAAACAAACAAAAAGACTGCATCAATAGTGGAGGTAACCATGTTGGGCATAGGAATAAATGTCCTAAATTTGGCCAACAATGCAAGATATGTTACAAGTGGAGCCAATACAAGAAATACTGTCTGTCAAATCAATCAAGTCTCGAAAAGTATTTTAAAGATGCACTGGAGTAGAAAACCTAATAGTTAAAGTTAGTGCCACTACTTATGATAATTTCTATGTGTCTGTAAGCATTTTTGATAAGTTATGTGTTTACTGATGAGCGCTGAGAACTCCCAATTATGTACTCCATAACTTTACCATGCACAAATATTTTATAACAACTGAAAATACCATAATGCAAAGGACAATATTTTTTCAAACATGCATATAGTTCAATTTGGAAGCAGAATAATATATATATGCCACATAAAAATGTATAACTAAACTAAATTCCAGTCTGACTAAAGGGGGAAATTTTGCATCATAAAACTACATAAGATTTAAAACAACTCCCTTATCCAAAACTGTTTTATTGGAAGTAAAAAGTAATTTACTACAACAACAACACATTACTTTATTTTCTAATTTCCACAGGACTACAGGGAGCAGAAGATGTGAATGAAGCAATGAAAGTTCAGGTATCACGACCCTTGAAGAGACAAGAAGGACATCGAGCCAATAAACAAAGGATTTCTTATTGCTATTAATCCAACAACTGTAAGTTCAGGGTCACAGCTATGGGGTCTGTCTACAGCTGTGAACGGGCTAGAAGAGGAGTCCAATTTGGTCCTGTCCCAGTCCATCACAAGCTCCACCACTGTCTTACAAAAGGGATTTCTTATTGCTTCACTTTTGTCTTTGACTGTACATGTGTTAATTTAGGGTGACAAGGCATGCCCAATTTNTAAAGCTGTTCTGTAGAAGAGATAATATCACATTTAATACAGTCAAGAAAATGAATCATTCTCTTGGAAAATCGCTAATGTTTTTACAGACAAAGGTGAGAGAAAAGAAAAGAGTAATTTTGTTACCTTAATAACTGTCAGGTTGAGTTGAGGACCCAAATGCAGAGGCATAGAGGCAGAGGTGAATTCTTGCAGTTTTAAAAAATGAACACAGGTTACAAAGGCAGGAATCTAAAAATCCAACTTAAAATGTAAAACTTAACCAGAAAAATGGAGACATCAGGGAAAACGAGCACATGGAGTCAGGGAAAGGCGAGGAGAGACGAGGAACCAGCACTGAGGAACTGCACAGGCAGAGTATATATGGGAGACCGAACAAAGACAGGACTAACTAGCTGATTGGGAGCAGGAGTGAACAGAGGCTTCTAGGAAAAGAGCTAAGGAAAAGAAAACCAACACAAGAGGGCAATACAGGGTAATAAAGCATAAGAACTCTAACACATCAAAAAATACAAAAAAATAAGAATTAAACCAATAAAACTAGAAAACAAAGAAAAACCTGAATAAACATGAAACTGAAAACTCAAAGAAAACTTAACAAAACCAAGACCATAACAAACTGGGGTGCATTAAACGAAAGAGACAACATATTTAGATATTTTGTTTCTGTGATTTATATGTTCCATATTGTGTAGGTATTTGCTTAATCTACAAAGGAATATGGCACTAATGATGGCACTAATACCATTTCTGTCACATGCAATGCCCCCCTTTGTCCAGAGCAGGCTACATTCACTGTACCAACTGCCATAGTATCTGAGTTAGACTCAGAGGAGCAAGCTTTTTTAAACTCATATGACGACAAAATACTATGCCAGACTTGGTTAACTAAGCTTGGTTTACAAACTAAGCCAGTTTTATGAAACAACCCTCTGATGGCCGTTATGATTGCATAATTGTTTTTTTCAAGCACAATTCAAATTGGTGACACATTCCTTCAGTTGGTTCGGATTCTCAAACAAACCAGAATGCATGAAAAAGTAAATCTATATTTACAGTTAAATGGTTCTAAGTAAACATATTTTCAGTCTGAGCTCACATTTATAGTTATCAAACAAAGTTTACAATTATTGTGTCTTTATTGTGTCTTTATTAGCAGATAAATATATCAAAAGTACAGACAGAACATACAGGTG